AAAAAAAAAATTTGTAATTCTGAGTATTTGTCCAAGGACACAGCTTTTCAACTAAAAAAAGGACATCCCTGCACTTAAGAGCTACTGGATTCTACCATTTGCTGGAATGAAATAAAGTTGGCCTGTTCAAGAACATAGGTTCACAAGTGTTGACCTGGTTTTTTAAAAGACATTTTTTGGGGGGGGTGGAGATGGGAAGCAGGGGAGAGAGGGACAAACAGACTCCATGCAAGTGAGCTTGGAGCCCCATGCAGGGCTCACATCACGACCTTGAGATCATGACCCGAGCCAAAAATCAAGAGTCAGACACTTAACTGAGCCACCCAGTTACCTCTGGTTCACTCCTTAAGGAAAACAGCTGGGCTTTGGAGAAAGCCGACCCAAGCTTTAATCCTGGCTGCAGCCCTTTGCTTGGAAATTTGGGCAAGTCATAACTTTTGAGCCAAAGAACATGCAAGCCAGCACCTGGCTCATGGGAAGTGCTCCCAAATACAAGGCTAGGGAAGTCTGGTGTTGTAGAAAGCCCTTCAGGGAGGCAGAGTTGAGGACAGGACTCCACCTGCCCTCAGGGCACCACTTCAGCCAAAGTGGTGAGTATCAGGCAGCAGAAAGAAGCAAAAACAGTGGCTGTGTTCATTGTACAAGTCCCAGGAGTTCTTAGTGCAAGGAATAGAGAGACAAGGAAGCGGCGGGACCGGCCCAGAACCTTCACAGCTCCATGCTGAAGGAGTGAAGATGTGCCAGTCCAAGTCTCAAGCCAGGTTTGCTGGCTCCAGCTAGTTGACCCTCACCCGGACCTTAGGAAGATCTGATAGGGGAGGTTTAGTGGTCTATGAAAGCATGGCTTATAAAGAATTAAGATAGGTAACTGGAATGACTAGGATATATTCCCTGGACTATGTTAAGATCAGTCTGAAGCTATGCAGGAATATGGAGTTCTCCTAGAGGTACATATACTGTAGATCATCTCAAACAGGAAAGTATTTACACACAAGTTCCTGTAGCTTGCAGGAATTTGAAAAAATCTTGTACTACTGGTTACAGGTTTTAGATATTTACTCATTTGACAAAGCCCAGGTCTCCTGTGGGATCCCAGTTTAGGGAAGAGGAAACCAGGGCTCCCAGGCTAAGCATGCTCAGGAGGTGGTGGATTCTTGTAGAGCCACGCATCCTTAGCCCTCATTTTCACCACGAAGTATCCAGAAGAACTGACCCCAAACGAAGCATCAAGGCCTCGTATTGACACCTGGAAGCTGATCTAAGAGGTTTTGTCGGGGTTACCCAAGTAACTGCAACCAGATTACCCAAAGCCAGCCTAGGAGTTTGAGATTTAAGGAATTACTTAAGTAGGTTTTTAAGACACTAATTGCTTTGGAATTAAATGCAAATTCAGGTGATGCTCTTATTGCTCATTCCCTCTAGGGCAGTCTGGTGGGCCCTTTGCTAAATGTTCGAAAAAACATGTGGGCCCTGTTTTCAGGTGGCCCCTGTTCTCAAGTTCACAGTGGGGGTAGGGAAGCAAGTCAATCCAGGAAGCAGAGGAATCAATTTGGCCTTGGTCTGAGAGTTCAGTGGAACAGACTGGCCTTAAACTGGGGTGTAGAGGAAAGGCTCAAACCACAGGTGCAGTAGCCGCAGGCAGGTGCTGTGCAGAGTAGCAGAGCTGAAAGGCCCTCGGGGTGGCCCCCGTGACCCGAAGAGACTCAGGCACAGAGCTACTGGAGAGCTAGGCTGGGGCTGGGTCCCTGCAGGGCCTCCGACACCAACATCCTCCCCGGGCCTACATCTTGAGATAGAAGATGTGGGGGTTGCTGACAAGGTCTGAGGTTACTGTGAGGATTCATAGTGCCTGGAAAGATTAAGTGAAATAGTTCTCCTGAGGTGAGACCGATTGAAAACCAAAAGAGGAGTGCCTGGAATGCTGGGTCTCTTTTGAAAGTTTGAGCTGAAAACAGCCAGATCCTTACTGCAGCTCAACGCTCTCACCTAGAGAGTAAACATTTAACTTAGGTGAAAAACACTCTCACCTTATGGTCGGGTATTCACCACACCTTCAGCCTGCATGCACATCAGACACCATTTGCTTCCATCATGCATTGCCCTATAGGTTTAGGTCTTGATTAAAGCCTAACATTCCTTTCTATTTTTCTGCTCTTACTTGATGTATTAAGACCTGCAATAAAAGCGGAGACCGAGTCTGCCTCGAGATCTTTTCACCACTAGAACGTCTGGTCCCTTCAACCTTCTTTCTCCTATTTAGGTGTCTGGAGTAATCTTTTCATTCACCACCTCAGGGTTTGCTGGCCAAACCCAGGTTACTCTGGCTCTGAGTGGACACAGCAGCTAGGAAGTGGTTAAAGGAGCCCATGTAAGGTGAGGAAGCTCGGAGCCTGGCTGTGTTAGGGAGATGAAGGGATAGATTTGAGAAACGCAGGCATTCAAGGAACCAGATTTGGTGAAGGGTTGAATGTGGGGGTGAAAATAGGGCTGGGTAGCCAGAAAGACAGGGGTCACTGTGGGAAGGGAGGCTTCAGAAAAACAGCCCTGTGGCAGGGGGGAGCGGGGTTGGTTTGGTCTCAGGAAGTGCCTTGGGGACTTTGCTACAGAGATGCCAGGGAGGCACGTGGTGACAGGTGAGGTGCTGGAGAAGTAGCTGGACCAACATGTAGAGAAGGAGCCTCCAGGATACTGACATTCAGGGTCCCTCCTGGAGACCGAAGGCAGGCTGTTAGGAGGTTGTATTAACAAAGGTGTATGTAAGGAGAACCCAAGGAAAGTGCTAGGACCACAGCTAGCCACAGCTGATACCACTCAGGTGTTACTGAGCCTTTACAGCTGAGACAACCAAGCACACCGTCTCAGAGACCAGCCAAAGGAAGAATGCCCTGGTGTCCCTCTTCCCTCTCAACCTCGGTAACTTCCAGCCTAGTCCTATTATCTGTAGACAGTTTTGTTTTTTTTAAGCTAGGGGGAGCATCCCCATCCCCCACCCACTTCAAGCCCCCAAATCAACAGGATTTCCTAGGCTAGCGGCAAAACCTCCTGCCAGGGTTTTGAGAATGTTTTACCTGAGTTTTATCTCGTCAAGCAGCATCAAGTCCAACAAGGCTTTGTACAGGTGCTAAAGGTTACCAGCTTGCAAGAGTTTGAGGTTGGTGCCTTAGTTTTACTTGCACGTAGGCCATTGTTACATAAATATCCTAGGAGTGAACTTAAATCCACCTGTTCCGAACCCAAGTCTCTTTAGGGGCTGATAATTAAATCCTGGTTTCTCAGGATAGTTATAGCCACTTGTTTCAGGAATCACCATTTGGTACCAAGACTTAATATTTCTAGGGTCCTTCACTTCATTAGAACAAACCTCACAGCCACTGTTCCTTGATCAAAGATCACATGCGGGGTACGGGGTCACCCGTTTAAACAAGTCACAGGAAAGGTAGTATCAGGACTATGTTCTAAGGGCTGGAAGCTTGGGATTTAAAATAAGGTGGTCAAGGAAGTAGACCCTCATTGAGCAGGTAACACCAGAGCAACTAGGTTCTTCTGGAGAGAAGAGTAATTCGAGGTGAACAAGTTGCCAAGGCCCTGGGGCAGGCATATGCCTGGGGCATTCCCAGGACAAGGCGGACAGTGCGCAGGAGAAAGACAGGTACAGCTGAGGACAGTAGATGGAGTCTCTCCTAACCCTGAGACTTGTCACCTAGGGTCCAGTCAGCCACCTTAAAGGCTTCAGCTTGGAGACTTGGAGTTCCTATAGACTTTAAGGGGAAAAATAGGTTTCAGTTTATAGAACACACAGGCTGCAACCTGAAGAACAGACCGAGGTTAAGGTGGGGGCATAAGACTAGATAGCAAACACCTGCGATAACCCAGGTGAGCCTTCGGGGCTTGGTTCTGTGGGACTAACAGCCAAGGAGGCAAGAAATGATCAACCTGGGCAGATTTTGGAAAACAGAGCCAAGAGGTCTCCCAGATTAGAGAAATAGAAAGTCAAGGATCACGCTTCAAGGCTTTCCAGCTCAGGCTTCAGTACCCACAGGTGCTTTACATATTCTCACTTAAACCCCCCACTCAGGAAAACTGCGTCCCCCTACTGAAAAGGGAGGCTTAAAGCAACATCTCAGAGCCCTTGCTTTTCCCATTTTAATGCTGCCTTCATCTTAAGAGTAGAAGTTCCCCCTTTCCTTCTGCCTCCCTGATTTCATAAACCCTGGTTTTCTTAGCACCTATATTCCCCTTACTCTCCTTGGCTTCTTAGCTTTCTAAAGGAAGTTTTGAGAGCAAGAGCTCAGGCCCAGCGAGGCATATCCCTGAAATTTGTCAGCGGCTGCTTTGGAGGAAGGGCGACTCCTATTCAGGAGTATTTTTAAGAAAAGAAAAAGCACTCTGTCTGCAATATCCGAGCGGGCGCCGACTCAGCCGGAAGGCTAGCGGCCCGGGAACGCCCGCTGCGCAAACACAGGCTCCAAAAAGACTTCCCCGCCCCCCCTGCCCCCCCCACTACAGCGCGCTGGTGCATTCTGCGGCCGCCGAACTTCAGCCTGGAGCGGCCCCAGCAGCCCGCCCGCCCATCCTTCCCTCCGCGAACGCAGCACCAACCCTCAACCCGCGGCCAGAACTCGTCTGGCATCGAGCCTGGCCCCCCGAGCCACATTTTTTACGGGGCCGTGTGCAACGTCACTTCCGGGGCGGGGCGTCCGGGGCGGGGCCCGCGCGGGGGGAGGGGCGGCCCGGTCCGCGCAGGCTCACGCGGGCTGCAGCCGCCGAGCCGAGCGCTTGACTATATATGGTCAAAGCTGGGGGCGAGCCGCGCGCGGGGCCGCGCTTCCGGGTTCGGCGCGTCCGCAGCGGCAGCGCGCAGGGCAGGGCGCGAGCCGGCCTCGGAGCCCCGGCCTCGGACCGCCCCCTCCGCGCCCGGCACGCCCGGCGCCGCCTTTCGGCTCCCTGTACCCTGCCCGGCCTCGGCCAGTCCGCTTCGCGGCGCGGGCGGCTCCGGAGGCTCTCGGCGAGTGCGGAGCGGTAACAAGTGGGCGACGATGCCGTACGAGATCAGTAAGTGCCGCGGCCCGGTGCCCCCCAGGGTGGGCTCCCACGCCGCCGGGTCCCCTCGGCCATCGGCTGGGCGCGGGGCGCGGGCAGCCCGGCGGGGTCCCCGGCCGCAGGGGAGGGGAGGAGGGCGCGGGCCGGCGAACGCCCCGCCGCCCTCGGGGCGCCCGGCGGCGATCCCCTGCCCGGGGGGTGCCCCAAAGTTGGTGCTGCGGGCTGGGCCCGTCGGAGCCCCCGCGTCCCCGAAGGGCCTGGTCGGGAGCGCGGACCAGGAAGTCGCGCGGTGCCCTGCGCTCCTTCAAAGTGGCGGCCGCCCCTCCCGGTGGAGGCAACAGGTGACCGGCTGAGACCGGTCCAGGGCCCCTCTCTCGTCTGCTTCCTGTCCCCAGTCCTCAGCCCGGCCTTGGGCCGAGGTGGGGGCTGCCCCTAACGCGCGCCCCGCTTGGTTTGTGTCTCTGCAGAGAAGGTGTTTGCCAGCCTCCCCCAGGTGGAGAGGGGCGTCTCCAAAATCATCGGCGGCGACCCCAAGGGCAACAATTTTCTTTACACCAATGCAGAGGGCGTCATTGTCAGGGACATCGACGGGAGTACTCCCTTCCCCCCCCCCCCCCCCCCCCCCGCCCCCAGGCGCGGGTTCAGACCCTGGGTGATACTCCCAGGTTAATTTTCCTTCTTCCCCTCTACCCCCCTCTTCTCCCGCCCAGCGGCCTGGGGAGGGTGAGGACGCCACGCCCCCTCAGCCTTGGGACCACACCTCGGAAGCCTAGAAGACTGTTTTAAGCTTTCCTAAGCCCTCTTCTCTCTCTTCCCGGGGAAACTGAGGCTTGGATTAGTTCAGACCATAAGTACGAGGGCTCTGGATTAGGGGGATCAGACACACCCGGTCAGCGGCTGCTTGACCTTGGGGCAGTTGGTGACTTGGGCATCTGAATCGCAGTGTCCTCATCTGTAAAATGGAGGTGGTGATGAGATGAGGCTCCCTCCCCCCACTTCCCCTGACTGCCTGTGCCCGCTGAATGAGATGATGCGTCTCTACAGCCCAGCATGCCTGGCACACACCCAGCACTTGGTAAATGGCACTTATGTATGATCATTATTAACACCCAGGGTCTCAGTGTGGCGGAGCCAGGACTCATGCTCAGGCCTCTGCACTCCAGCTTGGTGTGAGCCCCAGTGCAAAATCAGGAACCAGTTTATCCCCATGAATCGTTTAGACAGACATCCTGGACTCAGGCTGAGGACGCTTCTTGAGCCAGTTTCGTGGAAAATCCTCGCAAATTCCTGCTACTCCTCTGTAATTACTGAAATGACCCAGTCTGCTTGTTGGTCTCCCCACTGCTGGGATTGCACACTGAAATCTTTCTTCTCCCTTCCTCAGCCTGAATTACGGTATGGGGGAGGGAAGGTGGAAATGCCAGCACAACCATTTGGGGGGGAGGGGTTCTCCACTGTGCTTGGGGTTGGGCCTTGTGCACAGTATGTAGGTGGATGATTTTGATTGGTCATGTTCCCAAGGGATGTCAGCTTAGATTCACATCTGTTGCGAGTGATTACCCCTAGTGGGTTGGGATTGTTGCTGATCAGATGCACTTGCCCTCGGGGAGCTCACAACTGGCTGAGGGAGTAAAGGGGCTCTGTGGACCTCGCTTTTCTTGCCTGTAAAAAGAGAGGACTCTGCATGGTCTGAGGTGCTGCTGGCTCTCCCCTCATCTCTGGGTAAGCCAACCAGTCACTGTCGTTCCTCTGCTGAAAGACCGAGCTCCTGAGTGGCAGTTTCAGCCCTGCCCCGGATTGCTGGGCACCTCAAATGAAGGGGTGGGCGGGTGTGAATGTTCACTGAAGGTGCTAAGTGCTATTGTGCTAGTCATACGGATTCCTAGAAAGCTGATCTGGCCTCACGCAGAACTGAGAGAAATCTCACCAGGGACTTAGATGGTAATGATCTGGAGATGTCCAGGGTAGGTCCCAAGATTTTGAGTATAAAAGTGGACTAAACCATTCTCAGGGATACAGGGTGGGGGAACGCTTGGGTTTGCTGCTAACAATCCTGGACGTGTCGTTGCAATCTACATGTACTTCTAGGTGGGAGGCCTCATGTGAGGTACCTACTGTGTGTCTGGTGCCACGGAAGGTTCTTGAACTACAGCATCCTTCAGCCCTGGGGGCCCATTGCTCTGCAGAGGGGTTGGGCCAGCAAGGCGAAGGAGGCTGATCATCAGAGCTGCTTCCAATGGAGAATTGTTTACAGCTGTGCACAAGCACCCTCCCCCTCGCAAACATTCCCCAGCTTGTGACACCCATTGTGCTCACTTTTCGGAGGTCTTTATTTTTACCATACCCCAGAGTTTACCATTCTCTCTTGAGGGTGCTTCTGCTTTCCTTTCCCAGCTATTTGTAAGTTTCTGTGGGGCCAGGACAGCATGGGAAGCTGCTAATGTGTTCCTGTTCTGGATGTAAATCAGGCCCTTGGGCTCTTTTTTGGATTGGGGGACCATTGGTACTCAGTTAAGATGGACACCATTTTTGGTGGGACACAGCATTCCTGGGAAAGAGACGGGGAATCCTCATGACCATTCAGGGAATAGGAAGGAAGATGGTCTGGTTACATTACAGGCTCGGGAAAGAGGAGGTCCGGAAGAAAGGTTGGGACCAGGTCAAGGAGTATCCAACAGACGTCTGCTTGGCCTCTACTTGGCCCATCCAGACCACATTCAGGTTTCCCTCCAGCTGTTCGGGCCCCAAACCTGGGACTTCTACTGGATTTCCCTCTTTTTCTTCCCTCCCATAGTTCATTCTTCAGTGGATCCTAGTGACTACTTTCAGACTTCAGAATCTGACATTTTTTTCTACCTGTTCTGTTTCCCACCCTCCTCCAAGCTACATCCTCTCTGGATTGCAGAACAGAAAACCCAGACTGGTCTCCCCGATTCTACGCTGGCTGCCCTCCAGTCTGCTCAGAGCATGGCCGGACCAGTTACGTTAAAATACGAGGTGGTGTCTGTTGCCCCTTTGCTTTGCCTTATGGTGCCTGATACAGCCTCCCCATCCAGCCTGTCACCTCTGGTGTCACCCCCAAAACACCCCCACCCTTCCTTCCACTCAGCTCCAGGCCCTCTTGCTTCCATGCTCTTTCTGCAACATGTCACATAACCTGGCTCAGGACATAGGAATTAATAGCACTTCCATCCTGGCCTTCTCTACCCCTCAGGGCTAACATGGAGCGAGCCAGCAGGTAGGCCACCACATCTTACGACCGTGTGCGTGTCTGCCTGTCTTCTGTGGCTGCACTGGAAGCTCCTTGAAAGCAGGGCTTTGCTCTCCCCTGTTTCATGCACTGCTGTGTCCTCACCCAGGAGAGTACCTGGCCATAACGTACCTGCTCAGTAAGTTTATCTGTTGGTCAAAAGGCCTTGAATGCCAAGCTGTGTCATAGAGATAATAGGCAGCCATGGAAGGTTTCACTGCCCGGAAATAAAAGCTCAGCCTGCTTGAGGTTGCTGGAGCTAAATTTTGTGACATCCCCGTCCTTTCAAACCCAACAGGTATCCATACCCATATTGACTTCCCACTCGTAGCCACTGCTGTTATTCACTGTGTTGACTTAAAAGTTGTTTTGTGAACCCAGCATAATGGCACCTTATAAGCTTGTGGAAAAGAGCGTTTCTTACCTATTTTCTTTCAGCATGTCTGAATTAAAAGCATACAGTGGTGTGGCCATCTAGAAAAGAATAATCCAGAACGGGAGAGCCTGGTATATTCTTAGCATGGGGCCAGCATTGCCACTGCCCCTGCGGATTCTGCAGAGACGGGGCAGAGTTACTCCCAGTGACCGTGAAGGAGCCTCCTCAGGATTCTGAACTGCCCAGCATCACGTCCCTGTAAAAAACAGCTTTGGCACATGAACTTCCCAGCAGAGGCCCCTCAAAAGCTGCCAGAAGCAGCCAGCAGATTAGCTGCAAGGGCAGGTTTGGAGCTTGCTTTTAAAGCAGTCTAATCCCTAGATTCCGGAACTAAAATACATATATTTGACAAAATAACGTATATAAAGTCCAATTCTAGGAAGTGACATAATGGATTTCACCATGCTCTGTTTCAGAGCACAGTGTGAAGTTCAGGGGTGTTGAACTTGAGTGCGGAGTTTCTCCTGGAGTGATCTGCTGCCAGCCATGTGCAGAAGGACCACCTGTGCGTGCCTCCCCCCACACATGGGGTGGGGGAAGTCCATGCAGAGACAGATGGCTCAAGAAGGATTGACATTGTTCCTTCTGTCTATTTGTACATGCCTTCTCAGTCCCTGCTGTGCATCCAGGATGGCCACCGGCCCTGTGGGGAGCACGGATGCAGGGGAGGCCCCTCCTGCATGGAGCTCGTGGTCTTGGTGAGAGTGACATAAGCTTCCAGGTGGCAGAAGGGAGTGGTGTGTTGGAGTACCACCTGGACAGATGAGCAGGCGGCACATGCATGAGGTTGAACCAGGAGAGACCTGGGGGTTGGATCTTTAAGAAGTGAAGAGTTTAGGCTCAGACCAGGCCACAGAGCTGCCTGGCGACTTGCTTCGTGGGCCAGTGATTCTTGGGTGCTTTGGCTGTCACATGTCCAGTCACAGCAGGGGCTCCCTGAGTGTTATTAGTTGGCCCAGGATAGGCATTTCCTTTCCATCCCCGCCCCGCTGCCCTGCCCCTCCTACCTCCTTTACCTCAAGCCCCAGTGAATCCTGTTATAAGTGCTTATCAAGCATCTGCTTTGTAGCAGAGCCCAAGGGCCCATCCTCAGGGATCTTGCAGTCTAGTGGGGAATACTGACACTGGGAACTGGATGGGGCTGACCCCGAGAGGAAGCGGAGGTGCTGTGTTTCCAGACAGATGAGGTGGGCTTGGGCGAGAGGTCCCCTGCAGGGGTTGAGGAGTTTCAGGCCAGAGCCTGGTGTGAGGATGTGGGGGGCTGTAGCAGTGGGTGCTCAGGCAGCCCTGTGGCAGAAACCACCAGAACCATAAAGAGGTTAGGCAGACTAGTACTATGATCAAATCTGTAGTAGAGATTGTTCCATACTAAGATTTGAGGTTCAAGATGAGCACACTCAGCAAGTGTTTATCAGAGGATAGAACCGATCCTTGGTTCTTGATGTTTCCCACACATATTCACTAAGCTTGTCTTGCTGAACCCTGCCCATGACCACAGTGTCCAAGGTTCAAATCAACGGTTGTGAGGAGATTTTGCCCCCAGCCCCACCCCCTAAGAAATATTTGGCAATGTCTGAAGACATTTTTGTGCTACTGGTATCTATCTAGTTGGTAGAGGCCAGGCATGTTGCCAAGCATCCCACAGTGCACAGGGCTGTACTACAACTTATCTGGCCCACGGTATCAGTAGCGTTGAGATTGAATGTTACCCTTGTGGGTAACCATTCTGAGGCTCTGGTTAAGCACTTTAAAAGAATGTCCTGGGTGATTTGGGAACAAGAGGGAAGAACCAGGTGTGCCACAGAGCAGCAGGGAAGGTTTTTGGAGAAGGGGAACATTTGAGTTGGGTTTTGGAGGATAAGAGTTTTCCAGGAGGAGGAGTGAGGCAGAGACAGCAGAGATA